AAAAAAAAAAAAAAAAAAAAGAAAAGCAAATAAAGAATTCCTGGAAGGGCAGCTATGTAGTACAGCCAGTAATGAGCGCACCAGGACAGACAGAAGCAGGGAGACGAAAGGCTCCGTGAAGGAGATTTCTGCAAAAAGAAATTTATAAAATGTATGATACGTATGTGCAAATGTTTCTGAAAGCTTTGTGAGAGCTGCTGGAAAGTGAGAACAACCAGCCATTGTTTCCAAAAAGATGAAGCCAATGAAACTGTGAAGCAACTATTAACTTGAAGAAAAACAAAAGATGTCTTAGAATATACTGTACTCTACACAGGAAATGCACCTACACTACTTACTCAACATTAAATATTTACATAATCTTAACAGTAAAAACATTAAGGATTTAACCAAGAACTGTAATAGATTATCCTGATAGAAAGCGGAAGATTTAAGAAAGCAGAGTCATCCACCTCAAAAGTAAGCCAACAGACAGTATCCCAAATTGGACATGAAGATAGCGGTTTTTAAATGATGATGGGAAAAACCTGAGAATCAGTTACAGTTGAAACGTGCTCGTCTCTGGGAACCGAAACAGCAGGCATTGATGGGAAGAAGGCAGGTGGGGCTACATCGTTTCTACTACAGGCTTTGTTAGCACACTTGTTTTGAAATTTATTTTTGTTTGTTAAGTTTATTTATTTTGAGAGAAAGAGCATGCACAGGAGGGGCAGAGAGAGTGGGGGGGAGAGGGAGAGAATCCCAAGCAGGCTCTGCACTGTCACAGGCGCCCCATTTTTTAGCACGCTTTTAAAGTTACAAATGTGTTACACATCATGTATCTCACTTTTATAGAAATTCAGTAATTTAGGGCGCCTGGGTGGCTCAATGGGGTAAGCGGCTGATCTTGATTTTGGTTCAGGTCATGATCTCACAGCTGTGAGATCAAGCCCCACGTTGGGCTCCATGCTGCCGGTGTGGAGCCTACTTGGGATTTACTCCCTCTCTCTGTCTCTGTCTCTCTCTCTCCCCCTCTCTTTGCTCCTCCCCACCTCACACATCTATGTGCATGCACTCTCTCTCAAAATAAATAAATAAAAACCTTTTTAAAAAATTCAATAATTTTACATGAATGGACAGGTTTCTCCCTGATACTGACCAACCCCCATCACTTAAGTGATGGCCGAACTATCCCTACATCCTTGAATAGTCATCCACAGCACTAAGTTCCCCCCACTCCACCACCAGGGTGATGTCTCAGCTTTCAATAACCCTCCACTTTCCTTTTGCTGCTATCAAGAAAGACTCACCTTCCATAAACTTCAAGATTGTTTCAACTAATCTAAAAACGCGTTGGTCCTCTCTGACCCCGACTTTCCCTTACTCCATCATGTTTACAAGGATCAAACCGAATACACAACGTGCTGGGCACATTAACAAAGGTTTGAAAGGCAACTGTCTTACACCAAGTGACATAATTATGCAATTCCTACTCTCAATTCCCTCCCAGTGACGGAAAACTATACACCAGGAATCCTCCCTTCAAAATCACAGCAGAACCAAACACAAAGTTACCCCCCGGGACAACAATACTTGGTACGGTGACGTCGGAGTAAAGAAAGAAAACCAGCCCCACGGCCACCACCTCAATGGGCAAAGCTGAAATACTCAAGCATTACCTAGCACCTGACTAAGACAAAAAGCAGCAACAGCTAAAATTAAGCCAGAACAGAGCCATCCCATCGTGTTAGCTTTTCAGCTTGTAACAAACCGAAAGCAGGCAAGGTGAATGAACACCTGTACCTTGAAGATGGCACGGAACATCATATTCGATCTCATCGTGTCTCGACGGGCTCAAGAACAGAGTTCCGTCCACCAGCGGGAACTGTTCGAACACCGGGAGCGCCCGGTGGCACAGAGCACAGTTCACGACATTCCTGTGGCTGGCGCTGAGGGCCGCGAGAATGAACTTGCGCAGATCCTCGCCCTGGCCCATCTGGGCATCGTCTTCCATCCGCACGTGGAAAGTGTTCAACTTATGCCGGGGGATGTGAGTGAGCAGTTCGGACAAGTCCAGCCGCCGCAGGAACTGCACGGGCGCGTCGAAGTGGCCCCCCCTGTGCACGGATAACCCAGCCGGACTATACTCGAAGTGGGTGTTTCGGAACACGTGGCCCCCGGCCATGGCCTTCTTGTGAGGCTCCAGATGGATGGCATTCTTCAAGAATTCCCCGAGGTACCTGGAGGAGCGGGGGCCGCTGAAGTGGGCAGGGGAGAGGATGGAGTAGCCGGTGGGCGGGGACTGGCCAGGGGAGCCGCAGGGAGAGCGGGCCCCGTAGGCTGCGGCGCCGACTGCCTTCTCCTGGGAGTTCTGCCGGTCCATGGAGTGCCGCCGCGGGAGGTCATGGCTCAGGCCTTTCTGGGGCTTGCTCGGCGGCCTGCACTTTTTTGCTTCCTCCCCTGCTTCGCCGGGGGGCCTCCCTGTGTTCTTCTCCGACACGGACTTCTTCTTTTTCTCATCCTGCATCCGCTTCACCTGGTACCAGTCTGTGTCCTTCTTTAAGTGGCCCTGCCCGCAGCGGCAGGAGCAGAAGCGGAAGGCCAGGTCGTAGCCCTTCTTTGTCCACATGTTTTGGCGGCACTGCTTCTCGTTCCAGCTGCGGGCCCGGCCGATGCAGTTGAACTGGACGAGGATGCTGCTCTCCCACTCGTAGAAACACTGCAGGTGCATCCAGGTGCTGGAGGGGCAGTGCTCGTTGTTGCACACCACCTTCTGGTAGTCGTCCTTGTCCAGGTCCACCGGCCTGCCAAAGCTGCAGATCAGGGGCGTGGCACAAGGGGCTTCTGGGAAGAAACAGAGACAGAGAGAGACAGAGAGGAGGAGAGAGAGAGAGAGAGAGGTTCAGCACGCAGGAGGGGGAATCCCAGCTGGCACCTGGTCAGAGAGCAAAGCTACCATCCCCACCTTAGCCCATTCATGCCAACAGTGCAATTTTCTGGTGTCAAGATTTCCTCCGCTGGAATAACACCAGACGGGATTAGACAACACGTACTACTCTCTTCTGGTGTTCTGCTGGGCCGAGGGAATTTATTTTCAGATGTTTGTTATCTGCTGAAAAACACACCAGTAAGCTTCAGAAAGTCCAAATCCTTCACAGTGCAATTAGCCGTATGTCAATACTTACAACGGTATAGTGTAGTACGAGGTTTTCCTAAGATGTGAGTGTAATGACAGGCAGTTCCAAGGTTCTTTTAAAAAAAGAATCACTCTAGGGGCGCCTGGGTGGCGCAGTCGGTTAAGCGTCCGACTTCAACCAGGTCACGATCTCACGGTCCGTGAGTTCGAGCCCCGCGTCGGGCTCTGGGCTGATGGCTCGGAGCCTGGAGCCTGTTTCCGATTCTGTGTCTCCCTCTCTCTCTGCCCCTCGCCCGTTCATGCTCTGTCTCTCTCTGTCCCAAAAATAAATAATAAAAAACGTTGAAAAAAAAAAATTAAAAAAAAAAAAAAAAGAATCACTCTAATGAACTAGGAAATCATATGATGAAGCCACTTAGCCAACTAGTTCAGGTGATAGCTCCTAAAGGGCCCGCAAAGCCCTTTTTCACAAACTTTAGGTTATCCTGAATATCACAGAAAAGCTAGAAAACAGAATTACCTCTCCCCAATTCTCTCCTAGAATGGTCTGATACCTAAGGGGAGAATGTCTGGTCAAACTAATTGTTGGTCTCCACAGAATTACACCGCCAGGTCATGAAGGAGAAAACTGGAACTCTCCTCAAGCTATCAGGACAGAAAGCAGGAACACCGAGATATTTCTGCCCTATTTAACCACATACCCCACGGGCATCCAAAAGGCCAATCGGGTCCCCCTAAAAGGAGGGAAAACTTGGTGACACAGAGTAGGATCTATTTCTTAACAAGTAAATAGGATTTACAGTGACGAATTCCACTGGATTCTGGTTACTTCAACACCCTTAATATTTTCAAAAGGCCCTTTTGGAAAGCAGTAATACTCCTAGTCGGGAACCGCTGGGCCTGATCAGGAAGGTTCTACATGCCAAGCTTAGTTTAGACTTTATCTTTTTGTAGCTGAGAACGGTCAGTCAGAGTTCTGTTCTAGAAAGCTTACCCTGATGGCAGTGTGGGACATGAGTCCCTGGTGGCAGTGTGGGACATGAGTGAGAGCCTGACCTACAGCAGCAGCACAGTAAGATGGCACCTGCTGCTGGGATAAGCAAACTCTGATGGACAGCGAGCACAAGAGGGGCAGGTTTGGACAAAGACAACTTGGGGCTGGCCTGATTCTGGATCTGCTGAATTGGAAGCCTGTGTGCCACCGAGGTGGAGAAAGACAAGCCCAGAGCTCAAGTGACCTGGGGCCCGAATACAGATGTGCAGCTACACACCCAGAGGTGGAGGTTAAATCCCTGGACTGAGGAGTTAGCCCAAGAGGAATGTGAGGAGAGGAAATGAATCCTGAGAGGCAACATTAAAAGGCAGGAGAAGAGTCCTCCACAGAGCCTAGTAAGGAATGAACTGAGGATTCACTGAAAGACAAGTCAGGAGAGAATTCTATCATGGCAGCTGGAAAGTTACAAGAACAGAGGACTAAGAAATCCCCCAGAGATCACTGTTTCTCAACCTCTGCACTACTGACATTTTGGACTGGGTACTTCTTTGTTGTGGGCAGTGTCCTGTGCACTGTAAGACATTTAGCAGCATTTCTGCTAGGTGCCAGGAACACCACCCTCAACTGTGACACCCCAAAATGTCTCCAGACACTGCCAGCTATCCCCTGGGTGGGCAGAGGGAAAAAAAACTGCCCCTCGTTGGAAACTACTGGGTAACTTAAAGACTGAAAAGTCTTCACCAGAATGGTCAGTAAGCCAGTCAGTGACATCTTAGCAAGAACAGTTCCAGTGGGATGACAGGGGACAGATCAGAGGTGGATGGTGAAGAGTAGATGGTGAGGTAAAATAGTAGTAGTACAGATGACCTCCCAGAAAACTCTTCCCAGAAGTACAACTGTAGAAGAAAGGGAAAAGAATGGGAAGAGGCCAGTAAGAGTAGGGACCTACACATGTATATCTACACACATGTATATCTACTCGGGGAACGAATGCCAGAAATTCAGGATAGCTTTAACAGTAGGAGAGGCAATGAGCTCTGCAACTGCATCACTCAAAGCCCTTCCCGACCTCACCCCTGCCCACTGGATCACAAATACAGCACTCCACCAGCACAGGTGATGGCACCCATACAGCCTATGGCACTCGTGTGTTACAATCTTCCCCTTCAGCGTGGAACTCCGGGCGTCGGTCAAAGGCCCTACCCAACTTGTCTACCTCCATTCCTTTGATCACTGCGGTTCCCCCATCTACCGCCTAGGAGCCCACAATCCTTAATCTTCATTTGTCCAAATCCTACCGGCCTAGTGTAGCAATTCACAGCATGGACTCTCAACCAGACTGCCCGAGCTAGAATCCCAGCAGTACCACTGCTGAGCTGCGTGCTCCCGGACAAGTCACTTCTGTCTTAATTTCCTGTACGGAATGCAGGTAACAACTGAATGTACTTTATATGGTTGTTGTAAGAACAAAATATACCAACACACGAGCGGCACTTACAGCAGGGCCTGGCACATAGAAAACCTTCTCTGTTTCCTCCCATCCTTCAAGGCCCACCTCTAGACACTGATTTCACCAGAACCACCCCCTCCCGACCACAGTCTGGTCTGAACCTTACTTGAGTCCCCACTGTGGTCCCACCAGGTGATAACTTCAGACAGGATGCCTCTTCCCTCTGTGTTCCTGGCACCACTGGGCCTAGGCCTTGCACACATCCTGTGCTAATGAAGCTGCATTAAAATGACACTGGCAAAAGAAACCCAACCCGACAAGCAGGGAAGGAAGAGAGCAAGCCGAAATCCTACACAGAGAGAAAGGCCTAGTACTGAAGCACACTGAGATGAAGTAGAAAAATGGTCTGTAAACTGGGCAAAATTAACTGCAGTCCCCTGGGCTGTGACCTTTAGTGTCCTTTAAAATGTTAATTAGTCAATTAAACAAAGTTCAGTTGCTTTTATCTATCCTTCAGAGAAACAGCTTTGGAGAGAATGCCTCTGAAATGTAATAGCAGTAGCCAAAGTGATATTAACCCAGGACGAAAGAAATCAAAGAATGGCCTAACTATACCTTGGCATTCACAACATCCAAAGTTTTAAATCTTAAATGCCGAGACTGGCTTGATATTTCTCTTTAAAGTATTTCCACATTAAAGAAGGTAGATTAAGAGGAGAAAAGTCCTATTTACATCTTTGTCGAAAAGCGGCAAATACATCACGGAAGCAATTTTGAGCCCTGCCTACGAACCGGGTCTTTGGAGCTGGGAGAAGCAGCAACTCACACAGAGCGCTCTGGCAGAAAGGTATGTGTGGATCGGGGGAGGCCGGACAGCTCCCCTCTTCCCCATCACTGCCCCACCCCGACCGCGGCCGTGCTAGCCCACAATCTCCCTCCCCTCCGAGGCTCTGCCACGAAGAGACCCCCGCTCCAACCTGCCAGCTGGCTCGTTTACATCTCAGCCACTCCGATGTGGCCTTTGTGGCTGGGCCTCCAAAACAAAGACAAGGGCTTGAGACCAAACATTACACACCGCCAGCCCCACGGCAAGGCTCCAGGGGCCAGGGTGAGTACCAGGGTGAGACTCGGGTCCTGCGCGAGGACTTGGGACAGGCTTCTCACCATCTCACACAGCCTTCCGATGAAGCCACGGAGGGCTGGCGTCTGCATGCAGACACAATTTCCTTCTAGGCTTGGTTCAGACTTGCCCTCTCCCTCCCACTGTCCACACTGGAAAGGCAGCTGGGAACGATGCACGAGGGGGTTGGGTGACTAGCTGTTTGACGTGGGGCAGTTTCCTGCTTCCTCCTCTGTAAAGAGAGAACAAAGATGCTTGCCCTCATTCACGCTAAAACGTATGTGGAGGCTCTCTGCGCAGTTCTGCCACAACTCTTCCTGCTACCTCCACCGTCACTGGATACCTGTGCCTCTGGCTCCACAACTCAACGCAAACTGCTCCAATATATTGCCTACTTTTCCTACCTAATGTTTTGGACCCACAAAAGGGGTTCAGAACGTAAGGAAATGAAATGAGGCCATGTCTCTTTCAATCTCCAAAGTTTTACAGGTAACTGAAACAGACAGGGAAAGATTTCAGAACTCTAACAAATAGCACAGTGTTCAAATCGCACCCGTAACAAATGACAGTGTTATAGACATGCACTGGATTGCTTCCTGAAAGTGGTCTCTAAATTTACAAAATTCCTAGCTCTTAAGAATTGGAGTTCCTGGGGCACCTGGGTGGCTCAGTTGGTTGAGTATCCGACTTTTGCTCAGGTCATGATCTCACAGTTTGTGGATTTGAGCCCCACGTCGGGCTCTGTGCTGGTATCTCTGAGCCTGGAGCCTGCTTTGGATTCTGTGTCCCCCTCTCTCTCTGCCCCTCCCCTGCTCATGCTCTGTCAATAATAAATAAACGTTAAAAATTAAAAAAAAAAAAAAAGGAATTCCACAAAGGTGAAGGTATAAATATACTACAGACTGATCTGATACAACTGAATCTTTAATGGGAGAGAGGGAAGAAGGGACCCCACCCCCCGTTCAGTGAGGGCCCAAGCCACGTACATTCCTCAGGACATCAGTCTAAAGCTGAGATAGTCTGATGGACAAGGAATACGGGGCACTGTTCCTTCATGCAGTCAACACTGCTTTTACACAATGTATATACACCCTCCAGTGCATTTTTACTGCTTCATCATCAGATACTCAGGACTCGGCTGCAA